TGTGTGTGTGTGTGTGTCTGTGTGTCTGTGTGTGTGTGTGTGTGTGTGTGTGTGTGTGTGTGTGTGTCTGTGTGTCTTGGGAAAATGAGTGGGTCTGAGGTTCTACTCCAACACTCAGCCCCAGATTGTATGTGGCTCCTAGCAGAAGGTCCCACTGTTTCTGCAGTAGCTTGCTCTCTCTGTTCCTTGTCTCTGGGACTGTCTTCAGCTCCATCCTAGTGGCTCCCTAGCCTCACTCCTCACTCCTCATTTAGGAAGTTGGCTTTTGGCTTTGGGTTTTGGCTTTTTCCTCTCCAAAGCCTCTCAGTTCATTTCAGATTTACTTTAAGAAGAGTGGATGAGTTCACCACTCGGTTGCCTAGTAGCTGCTCCGGTTCACAATCAGCCTGTGAAACCCAACCTAAAAGAAAGCCAAGTGAGACTTTAACCGATTTCATGACAATTCATGTAATCACAGAAATGTCTTTAGTTTCTTTGGTCTTTGATTGCTCTGTCAAGTACTTTTTTATAATAGCTAGCATTTACACAGTGTTGATCCTGGGTGTGTCATGGGCTTCCTTAAAGCACCTCCCGTGGTGTGTATAATACCTTCAACACTTTCCTAGAGGAAACTGAGGCTTAGAAAGGCGAGTGACAGAGAAAAGTTATGAGATGGCCCATGCTCCGTGGCTCCCTCCTAGAGTCTGCAAAGAAATTCCTCAGTTTGGGACTCCTTTTCCATAGACTGCAAGGGACAGCAGAGCTGAGAAATTCAGCCCTTGGTTTGGGAGACAGGCAAATCCTCATCTCTGCCACTTCCAGCCAGTTTTCTGGTCTGTAAATGAAATGGCAAGAGTCTTACCTCCTTTGGTTCCTGGCCACTACTGAGTTAACAGACTATGAGCTTTGACTCATAAACTGTCTCTGTTGGCCTCCTTGCTCCTTAGTCTCAGTAAACTGTCCCCATTGGTCACCTTGTCCCTTAGACTTGTCTGCAACTGGGAAGACATTTGTCTCTGTTCCTTCTAGCTACTAGTTTTTTTACTTTAGTTTTTCAGAAGGCTGTCAAATAGCCCAGGCTGGCCCTGAACTCAATATATACCTGAGGATGACCTTTCTCTCTTGGCTGGTGTCACATCTGTTTTATCAGAGCAGGAAACCAAACTCCAGACTTTGCACATCCCGGACGAGAATGCTGCCAGCTAAGCTCCACCCCCACCCTTTTAGTTATTTCTATGCCTCTTCAGCATGTCTCCCTCCAGTTGGAGGAAGGAAAAAGAGAAAGTACTAGCTTGCCATTTCACTTGATTAATGGTGTTACAAGTTGGTTTGTTTTCATTTCTTCCCATCAGATCTTGTGTATTCTGTCTTTCTGGCATGTTTCCCAGTGCTGGAAACAATACACCTTAAGTATCAGAACTGTTCTCTTTGCAATCTCAAGCTCTTCTTTGTTTCGTTTTGTTCCATTTCCTTGAAATGTGTCAGTTTGGTGAAGCCTGCTTCAGATTGCTCACATGTGTGTCAAAACCAGGAGTCCCTGACTTCTGCAGATGGATCCTAAATACTTGACTGTGTGAGTCATTTTGCTCCAAGAACCAGGAAAGGGTGCCGATATGAACAAGAAGGGCTGTGTCTCCTTGACACAATTTTCCATTTCAGTCTTCGGTGACCCTAAAGAAATTTTTCCGATTTTTTTTTATTTGAATTAGAAACAAGATTGTTTTGCATGACAATCCCAGTTCCCTTCTCCCTCCCGTCCTCCCCTACCACCACCCCCCCAACTGAAACCCTACCTATCACATATCCTTTCTGCTCCCCATGGATGGTGAGGCCTTCCATTGGGTGTCATCAGAGTCTATCATATCCTTTGGGATAGGGCCTAGTCCCACCCCCGTGTGTCTTTGCGCAGGGAGTATCCCTCTAGGTGGAATGGGCTCCCAGAGTCCACACCTATGCTAGGGATAAGTACTGAACTACTACAAGAGGTCCCATAGATTTCTGAGGTTTCCTCACTGAAACCCATGTTCCTGGGATCTGGGCCAGTCCCATGCTGGTTTCCCAGCTATCAGTCTGGGGAGCAAGAGTTTCCCGATGTTCAGGTCAGCTGTTTCTGTGGATTCCACCAGCCTGGTCTGGACCCCTTTGCTCTTCACTTGTCCTTCTCTGCATCTGGATTCCAGTTCAG